GATTAAATGAGTTAGTATTTGTAAAATAATCATCAAAGTGCCTGGCACATAATAGGTGCTTAATCCTTCCTTCTTTCCTTCCTCTTGAAATTTCTGAACTTCTATCCCTCTCATTGCCCATTAGTATTTGTTTTTCCTTCAGGAGAATGGGTTAGATCCCATTTCCCATTTCTTAATGGGGAGACCATGAGATATGAGAAAGAAAATGTAACTTTTGTACAACTCTTATTCTCTGTAGAAGTTACAGGAAAACATTAGAAATTTAAAAGAAGAAGGCATTGACATGTATCAAACTTAATGAATGACTAGAGAAATTGAGTCTCAATTGTGTATAACTATGACCCTGGCACTACTTTTATGCCAATGGAAAGACTTGGAGAGGAAAATGAATATAGTACGGTTTAATATGCAGAGAAGCATTTACTTTTTTTAAAATTAAAATGAAATTTTTTTTTATTTTTAGAAAATTGGGATTAAATGACTTTCCCAGGGTCACACAGTTAGTAAGTGTCAAGTATTTGATCTGAGGCCGGATTTGAACTCAGGTCCTCCTGACTTCAGGGCTGGTGCTCTCTCCACTGCACCACCTAGCTGCCCCCTAAGCATTTACTTTTTTTTTAAAATTAAAGATATATTTTATTTACTTTGTTAAATACTTTCCAATTACACATAAAATTTTTAAACATTCATTTAAAAAAATTGAGTTCCAAATTCCCTCCCCTCTCCTCATTTAGAAGGCAAGCAATATGATATTGATTTTAGTAAGTTAAAACAATTCCCTATGTATCTTAGAAATGGAATACTCTATTTGACATTTAAAGCCCTTCATAACCTAGAGCCCTCCTACTTTTCTAGTCTTCTTAAACCCTGCTCCTTGACACTTATTCTTCAATCCAGTAACACTGGCTTCCTGGCTATTCCATGAGCAAGACACACTATCTAGGCATTTTCTCAGGCTGTCCCCCATGCCTACGATCCTCTCTCTCCTATGCTCTTGTTTTTAACCTCCCTGGCTTTCTTTAAATCCCAACTAAAATCTCATCTTTTACTAAAAGCCTTCCTTAGTCTCTCCTAATTCTAGTGCCTTCCCTCTATTAATTATTTCCTATTTATCCTGAAGGTAGCTTGCTATATTTGTTTGCATGTTGTCTCTCCCATTAGATTGTGAGCTACTTGAGGGCTAGATTTATTTTTCTAAAAGTTGGGACAATTTACTTTTGTCCTGTGCAGTTCTCATTTATGATTTCTTGAAATATAGCTCTGAAAAACAGGTCTTTAAAAAACAATGGTTTTTAAAGGCATTCACTATATTTCCAGAACAGCCCACTGTGTTTCAAATGAGCTACCTGACTATGACTTTAAACTCAAATCACTCTGGCTTTTATTGAATGGCCAATAATAGCCCCTAACCCAAGCCTTTATGGATTATTTTTATGACTCAGGTTTTGATGGCAATTGTTTTCTGTTCTGGCCAAAAACTTTGAAGGTCTTCCCCTCCTAAATTGGTATTTTGGGATGGTAAATTAGGCCATCTTTAGTCTCAATTCTTACTAGCCCGTAGTCATTGAATGGAAATTGCTTCAGAGAAACTGAGGCCTGGGAAAGACCTTCATTTAGAAAGGCCAAAGTCATTTACTGTGTCCTAGGCTATTACCAGTCATATTGACTTTTCTCTTGCAACTGAACTTTAATAGCTCTAGAGGAGAGAATGAGACTGATGACTCTCACACCCGTCAAGACCTCACCCTTGTGATATTACTGGTCTTCTAAAGACAAACAACAAAGAAGTCATGCAAAACATATTTCCATATTAGCTATATTGAAAAAGAAAATGCATACGTATACAAACAAGAAAAATAAAATTTAAAAAACATTTACTTTTAAATGTGTGAATTTCCATACAACTTCATGTTGCTCTTAGTTCAATTGCTAATCATGTTGCTGCTTGCTGGAGAATGCTCTAGGAGGTGAGACTCTGGGGGTATCTAATGCCTGGATGTGGAATAGCCTTAGGTACATGAGAAGTAGAGAGGAAATATCAGATGTGTAAGGAGAAAGCAAAAAGGGCATAGTTGTATGGAGCAGTGATTAGTGATCGGGGGAAAAGACTGGGAAGAATCATGTGGAGAGAGAACAGAGAGGACCAGGGATATGATGTGTGGGAGCCATAGATGAGATAGGAAGAGCCAGCAGTGGGGCTGTAAGAGTGGTGGGGCACACAGGAAGAGACCACACAGTGGAGCTGGCAATTTCATGATGACTCCAGTGCTATGATGACAGGCATCAGTGGTCCTCTGGTGCTAGTATTCTTTGGTCTACTTTGATGAGAATGGTGAGAAAAAACCCCTCAAGAAGCAGAGCTTTATATACCCTTAAACTTTACCATTAGTGATGTGAGGTTGAACTGGATGAATCCTCTTTCTTTGGTTCAGGAGGTAGAAGGATCAAAGGGAATTTAGGGACCACTTCCTTAAAGGTATGGGAGATGTCATCACTTTCTGTGTGGGTGGTCAGAATATTTAGTACCTGATTCAATTCTTTGTCATTTACTTAGCTATTTTCTTCTAACTAAATGTCTTTTGCTTTTGAAATCATGAGTTAATTTTTGCTGTTGTTGTTTGCTTGTTTGTTTCTTTGTTTCTTTGAATTTGGCATAGAGATGTGTTGGTAGGGACCCAGGCCATAGTTTTGAATAGATGATCCCAAATAGCACATTGAAACCTGTGAAATGGGAATAATAATTCACTTCTTAACCTACCCCAACAGGGCTGTTATAAGAACCATATGAGAAAATATCTATAAAGTGCTTTATAAACCATGAAGCACAATATAATAGATAAAAGAGAAAAATGAATCAAAGACTTTGCAAGCTTGAGTGATTGGGAGAATGGTGCCATTGACATAAAAGACATATTCAAAGGGGAATGATCTTATTTGTGTGTGTGTGTGTGTGTGTGTGTGTGTGTGTGTGTGTGTAGCAGGGAATTAGCTTAGCTTGGGACATGGCTCATTTGAAGCAAGCAAGACATTTATGTGGAAATACCCAGTAAACAATTGGAGATAAGCTGCTGAAGTGAAAACAGGTTTGCAGGAAAGGATTTGGGAGCTATTAGAGGTTACAGTTAAGGCTGTGCAAATGGATGAGTTCCTTAATTCTGAAAGAGAGGTAATAGAGAGAAAGAGAAGAAGTGGGGTACAGACTGAGCCTTGGGGAATGTCTGGCAGAAACCTGGAGGACAAAGATGAACCATCAGTGGATAAACCCAAGTCTGAACCCAAAGGATATTTAACAGAAAGAACTTCATATACTCTGTGTGTATTACCATCATTCATTACACCAACATTGTAAGACTCTTGGGATATTTTTTGGAGTTTCAAAGTCACAGAGTTAGTTAAGAGTGAGAAATAATAGGACAGTACCTTGACTTTCCAGTTCTTAGCCAGTATTTAATGGTGAAAAGTTGTTTTTTAAAAGGTACCAGATTTTTCTCTGCCCTTCCTAGTGAAGCATGAGCTGCCAAACTCTTCTTCCTTAGTGTCATGAAAAAGTGTACCAGACCTGAACAAGACAGGCCTTGGATGGAGCTCAGATTCTGTAATCTAAATACCAGTCTTATAGCTTCAGGGTTATTTTGCATGTACCTTCCTATTTTGTGGATTTTTGTAGGTCAGTGACGAATAAGACAAATAACCATTGCCTCTGTATTTCTTTATACCCAAACTTCTACCCTTCACCCCATGAAATAATTTGTGTGTTCTAAAAGCTTATGTAATAATTATTATAATTTTACATTATTATTATAGACATTTATGGTTACAAAGCATTTTTCACAGATGTTATTTCATCTTGTTCTCACAACAACCCTATGAAAAAGATAGTCCAAAGATTATTACCATTCTCATTCTATAATTAAGAACCTGATGCTCAGAAAGTTTAGGAATTTGTTCCCCATCACACAGATGGTATATGGCTCAGCTGGGATTCAAAGAGTTCTTTTTGACTCCAAGCACAGTGTTCTTTGTCTCTGATGAGACCAGGCCTGTCACATCCTGCTCCCACCCTGCCCCTGCCATTCCCTTTCCTGGTGAAATCTATTGGGTTCTTGCATTTGGTTTCTGAGAAATCAATACTGTGATCACACAGGAAGGAAAAAAAAGTCTAGTGTGGTTGTCACCTTGTACTTGAGCAAATCTAAGGAGAAATGAGGTGATGCTTTTATAGGTCTGTTGGTGTTGAAAATGATCTCTTCCTACTCCTATTCTTACCCTGGCCACAGACAGTATGGATCACAATGGATGTTTCCATTCACACCTCATCCTTTATGGTTTTTTTTTGTATGGGTTGTTCCATGAATGTTTAATAGAAGGCCTATTCAATATGCTGTATATTTTATAGATACCAGCACAGCAGTGGACTGTCTATTTTTTATCTGCACATTTAAAAAATTAAGAACAAAAGACCAAGACATACTGCAGTACTTTGCTTAGCTTTTAGAGGATCCCAAGTGGAAATTATAATTTATTATTATTATTGCAATATACTTTCCAGAACTGTTTTACTTTGTCCCTAGTTCCAACTTAGGCCAATCTGCTGCTCCTTGGAAAGAGCTCTAGGAGGTAAGACTTCAGGAGTGTCTTGTGCCTGGATGTGGAATAATCCCAGGCATATGAATTATTATTATTAGTTGCTAGCATTTATGTAATGCTTTAAGTTTTGTAAAACACCATTCTTATTAGATCCTTACATCTTTAATGTAGGAACTATTATTATTTCCATTTTACAAATGGGGAAACTAAGACTGAGAGAAGATAGGAGCTTGCCCAGGGTTACACAGTTAGTGTCTGAAGTAGGTTTTGAGCTCAAGTCTTCCTGACTCCAAATCCAGAGTTCTTACTGTGATACTTAGTTGGGAAACAATTGTGAAATAATCTTTAATTTTCTCTGGCCTTCACCTAATTCTTGAGTATATGAAGTGTCATCTCTTGCTCTCTCCCTCTAGGTATCTTTCTCAGACATTTTCACCTAAAACCCAAGGAACTACAAGGAAGACTGTATATCCTTCAGGAAGAGGCTGGCGGGCTTGCCTGTGAGCATATTACAACACTCAGAAAGTAAGCTTTAGATGCCAAACATCCTAGATAAATACCTCCTCCACTTCCTAGAAACTGTATTAATTTTCTAGCAGGGAGGAGGAGACCCCAAGTATTACTTGCTGAGGAAAACTGTGGGAAATCTAGGGGCAGAAAGGAAACTTGGTGAGGAGAGCCAACAAGCCCCTTCACCACATATAGAAGACATTCTGTACTGTGTCTTTTGGTTGTGTACTTCAAAGCCACTACCAGTGACAGGTCTCAGATCTTCCCCCTACCCAACCCATATGCATTGGCCTTGTATCTACATTCTACATATCTTGTTCTTACCTAGTTTACATGTTGACATTTCTCTCTCTGTCTCTCTGTCTCTCTGTCTCTCTGTCTCTGTCTCTCTATCCCTGTCTCTTCCTCCTCTATTAGACTATAAGCTCCTTGAGGTCAGGATCTGTGCTTTTTACTTTCTTTGTGTCCCCAGTGGTTAGTACAGTGCCTCCCATATGTTAATAAATGCTTCTTGACTTGACTTCAGGCATGGCTGTGTTGGAGCCAGCTCATACCAGCTAGTGAGAGCCAATTATTACATTTTCAGTATTTAGGAATCTGCAAACATAACACATCAAGGCTTGATTTGATGTTTTGTTTATTGTTTAGACTTAACATGATGAAGGAAATGTTAACAATGTGTATTAAACTTAAATGTATCATGTCTCCTTTTTTTCTTCCTCTGGAAAGCCAGTTGTTAAAATTTACTAGCATACCCCTGACTTCTGAGATCCACAAATGGAGTATGAGGAATGTAAATCTGTGTTTGCAGTCATAGCTGGGAGCCAATGCAGATGAGTACACAGGCTTTCTAAACAAGAGAGCCTAAGAATTAGGTTTGCAAGGGAAAATATTCCCTTACATTACTTAATGCATTTGAAGTCATTTACTTCAATGGAGCTTATCCTTGGCTACTCAGGCACTCCATATACAGGATATTTCTTTCCCATTTGCTGCATTACTAGAGGAATAATTAAGAGACAGCTACCAGAACTTTAGCGATTTTTGTATCTGGGACAGAGAGCACAAAATGCACCTAAGACAAGTAATAGATATGTGTTCTCAGTTCAGTTCAAGGGAGAGAAAGCAGAAACCCTTGGCTATCCCCAAACTGTTGCTGGAGGAGGAGGAAGCAGCCATATGAAAGCTTTGTTTAAAGACAAAACAAAACAAAATAATCTAATTATTCTTGTTAACTAGGTCCCTAAACTCAATGGATTTTCTGCCGCTTAATGGCTGAAAGTGCTTTCCTTGCCCTTCCAAATTTCTGTACCTTAGGACGAAGCTCTAGGAATTCTGCCCCTGTTGCTGCTCCAGCAGACATTGTTATCCTTAGTAGAGCAGAATTGAAGACCTGAGCTCAGTGACTTGGCTTAGGTCATCTAGTATATTAGTGACCAAAGCTACAGGAGCTCATGTTAACTTGTTTCCCACATGGCTGATTAATAGGACTCTTTCGGCAAGTTCAGTAAAACTAGTGATTTGAATCCTAATAAATTGAAATTGATGAGGCCTAGACAAGGGCTTGGATTGAAGTTTGATTTATCTATTAATACGAGGTTTACAAAGCACACTAATAATGTTGACAAGATTTAAAGAGCAATATTTAAATCTTTAAAAAAACAACAGAAGCAGGTGTTTCTGTAGGTATTGAAAAAAACAAAAAACAATATGCTAATTGCAAGTCACTTTCATCTATTCATTACTCAAGCATACTGTTACTCTGGAACATGCTAGGGCAGGTGTGGGAAACCTGTGGCGTTCTAGGTCCTTGAGTTCAGACTTTTTTGACTCTGTCCAAGTTTTATAGAACAAATCCTTTTATTAAGGGGATTTGTTCTGTGAAGTTTGGATTTAGTCAAAGGGCCACACATGAGGACCTAGCGGGCCACAGGTTCTCCACCCCTGTACTAGGGGGATAGTGGCTATTTAGGTTCCATTACTGGGATCCCAATATATTAACTGAACCTTTCCTGAGCTGAGGTAGCAGGATGTTACAGGGTAGACTATGAGACAAAGGTAGGGGCAGAGCCATAATTTGAGTAAGCAGAGGTCAGCTAACAGGTGTCACTTGTCTTGGAAGTGAAACGAAGGGACAGGAAGTAGCCTTCACTTGCAACACTGCCAAGGTCAGTAGCCAGGATGGCCAAGCATAGGATTGAATGCTAGAGTGCTTCTGGTGTCTAGAGAGAAAGGCAGCTTAAATATAAGAGTTTTAGTAATTTGAGAGAGATTAGCAAGAATTGAAATCCAGAGTTAAGTATCTACAGTTGGTATCAGGTGGGCAACAGCTGGGCATTAAACTAAGTAAGGAGAATTCCAGTTTGCCATATTTGCCATCCTATGGATATATTTGAATTTAAGCTTTGGTGCATGTAACTAGGTCTCATCCTTCAGGTTCCACTGAATTCTCTTTAGCTGGAGAGCTTCCATTTTTTTTTTCTGTCTCCATTAACTTCCATAGCAGCAATAGCTTCTCTGGGGATGGACCCAGAAGACCTCCTAATATGCTAGTCCCACAAAGTTTCATTGCTTTGCATTTACTAAACTGCCTGGTTGAGACTTTGCTTTTTCACCTCTGTCCTTACCACCAGTTGGTCAGAATTAGTGAAGTTTCTCTGATTTTGAAAAGTGAATATCATTTGTGGAAAAAATAAATGGAATGGGACATTATAACTAAGCGTACCATGTACAAATGTAGTTCTGTTTATAGTTGCAAATTTGAGCAATAGCCAGTCACTTATAAGTGCTTAGTGTTTCTTGTTGGATTGCCTATATAGTCCATTTGAGGCTGGAAGACCCACATGTTTAGCATGGCACTGGAGCTTGGCAACTTTCCAGGACATGGAGCTAACCCTACTTAAAGCTTTGTGTATATGTTGCCCTTTTCATTTGGGGATTTCCATCCTGGGTTGATTTTTTCCTGATTATTCTTGCATTCTGAGACACCAGAAGATAAGGTTACACTCACTATGACAAGAATCAAATAATATTGCAGTGTTCTATTTTGCCTAAAAATAGAGGTCAATTTAGGAATATGACTATCTACTTCCTTAAAAGCAAAGAAAAAAGGATGATGAGTTTAGGGTTTCAGCTTCCTGCTGGCCCAGGATTCCCTACAATTGCTTTGTAGTTGTTTCAAAGTCCAGGCTACACTATGAAGTCTCTGCCTGCATTTTGACCATTTAAAAAAATAATTGATTTATTTTTTAGTTTTCAACAAGATTTTGAGTTCCAAATTTTCTCTCCATCTCACTCCTCCCCACACCCCAAGACGATGTGCATTCTGAATATTCCTTCCCCTAATCTGCCCTCTCTTCTATCACCTGCCTTCTCTTATCCCCTTCCCCTTCTATTTTCCTGTAGGGAAGGATAGATTTCTATACCCCATTGCCTGTATATCTTATTTCCCAGTTGCACGTGAAAACAATTTTAACATTTGTTTTTAAAACTTTGGGTTCCAAATTTTCTCCCTTCCTCCCTCCCCACCCATGCGCATTGAGAATGCAAGCAACTCGATACAGGTTATACATGTATAGTCATGCAAAACACTACCATAGTAGTCATGTTGTGAAAAACTAATTATATTTCCCTTCATCCCATCCCACCCCCCGTTTATTCTATTCTCTCTTTTGACTCTGTCCCTCCTCAGAAGTGTTTGCTTCTGATTACCCCTCCCCCAATCTGCCCTCCCTTCTATGATTCCCCCTTCTTATCCCCTTCCCTCCTGTTTTCCTGTAGAGTAAGATAGATTTCCATACCCAATTGAGTGTGTATGTTATTCCCTCCTTAAGCCAAATCTGATGAGAATAAGATTCACTTGTTCCCTCTCACCTTACCCCACTTACCCACCACTATAAAGGCTTTTTCTTGTCTGTTTTATGTGAGATAATTTACCCCATTCTACCTCTCCCTTTCTCCTTCTCCCAGTATAATCCTCTCTCACCCCTTAATTTTATTCTCCAGATATCACCCCTTCATCTTCAATTCACCCTGTGCCATCTATCTATCTATCTATCTATCTATCTATCTATCTATCTATCTATCTACCTAAATCATCTTTCCATGTAGGAATGTAAACAGTTCAACTTTAATAAGTACCTTATGATGTCTCTTTCCTGTTTACCTCTTCATGCTTCTCTTGAGTCTTGTATTTGAAAGTCTAATTTTCTTTTCAGCTCTGGTCTTTTCATCAAGAATGCTTGAAAGTCCTCTATTTCACTGTATGTCCATTTTTTCCCCTGAAGGATTATACTGTTTTGTTGGGTAGGTGATTCTTGGCTGTAATACTATCTCCTTTGCCCTCCAATATTATATTCTAAGCCCTGCAGTCTCTTAATGTAGAAGTTGCTAAATCTTGTGTTATCCTGACTGTGGCTCCATGATATTTGAATTGTTTCTTTCTGGCTGCTTGCAATATTTTCTCCTTGACCTGGGAGATCTGGAATTTGGCTAAAATATTCTTAGGAGTTTTCCTTTGGGAATCTCTTTAGGGGGTGATTAGTGGATTCTTTCAATTTCTATTTCACCCTCTGGTTCTACAATATCAGGGTAGTTTTCCTTGAGAATTTCTTGAAAGATGATGTCTAGGCTCTTTTTTTGATCATGGCTTTCAGGTAGTCCAATAATTTTAAAATGATCTCTCCTGGATCTATTTTCCAGGTTTGTTGTTTTTCCAATGAGATATTTCACATTGTCTTCCATTTTTTCATTCTTTTGGTTTTGTTTGATTGTTTCTTGATTTCTCATAAAGTCATTAGCTACCATTTGCTCCATTCTAATTTTTAAGGAATTATTTTCTTCAGTGAGCTTTTGGACCTCCTTTTCTATTTGGCCAATTCTGCTTTTTAAGGCATTCTTCTCCTCATTGGCTTTTTGGAGCTTTTTTGCCATTTGGGTTAGGCTATTTTTTAAGGTATTATTTTCTTCAGTATTTTTTTGGGTCTCCTTTAGACTTGTTTTATATGATTTTCTTGCATCACTCTCATTTCTCTTCTCAGTTTTTCCTCTACTTCTCTTACTTGCTTCCCAAAATCCTTTTTGAGCCCTTACATAGCCTGGGACTGATTCATATTTTTCCTTTGTATGTAGGAGCTTTGACTGTTGTTTTCTTCTGGTTGTATGTTTTGATCATCTTTGTCACCAAAGAAAGATTCTATGGTCTTTCTTTTTTTGTGCTGTTTGCTTATGTTCTCATGAGTTTTAAACTCTTTTTTTAAGGTAGGGAGAATGCTTCCAGTGTGGAGAATGTACTGTCTCAAGCTTCAGGGGTTTTGTGCAGCTGTTTTCAGAGGTACTTCTAGGGACCTGTAAATTTTCAGTTCTTCCAAGGTGGTATGATCAAAGGCAAGGTGTTTACTCCTTTCCTGGACTATGCTCTGGTCTATGAGTGATTACAAGTATTCTTTTCTGCCTTGGAACTGTGAGGAGGATTCCCTCTCCACCACCACTATAAGCTTCACCATGCCAGCATTCCTCCTTGCCCCAGGACCACAACCCAGAACTGTGACTCGGATCCAAACTTGGGCAAAGCAAGAGAATCCTGCCTCAGTACAAGCAAAGAGATCCCTGCAATATCCCTCTGATTAGCTGCTTGATCCCTCCTCCATCTGTGGGCCAAGAGATCAGGAAGCAGTCACCACCCTGGAGCTGCGCTGGGACTGGGGCAGAACTAAGCTCCTCTCTCACTGAGGTCCAACAGACCTTTCCTACTGACCTTCTAAGATGTCTTCGGTGTTTGTGGATTGAGAAGTCTGGAAACCACCACAGCTCCCCTTGATTCAATCCCCTGAGGACTGCTCCAGATTTGCTGAGGCCTGGTGCACCCATGCTAAACTGTGCTTCTCTCCCAGCCTGGCACAATAGACCTTTCCAATCAACCATTCAGGTTGTCTTGGGCTGGACATTTGTTTCACTCTATCTTTTTGGGGTTCTGCTGCTCTAGTATTTGTTTACAGCCATTTTTTTAGAGGTATTTGGAAGGGTTTAGAGTAGAGCTCAAGCAGGTCACTGCTTTTACTTTGCCATCTTGATCATTGAGTTTTAAAGTAATCCATTGCTTTTGGTTGTTAATGGTAGCTGACCCAGGAGAAACCGTGCCCTCCCCAGCCTAGGCATGGCAGACTCTCCTTTGACCTACTTTGTTTACCCTAGGTGAATCAGATTTAGAGAATTTCTGGGCTAAAGACAGAGCTAATGACCTGGCAAAGCCAGTCTTCTTCTGGATGCCTGGGTCTTTTTAGATAGATCAACAACTACCCATTCCAAGGAAATGCCTTAGCTAACCACCCAAGTCGAACCCCATGCCTAATTGTTGGAGGGAAAGGTGAAAGTAAGAATTGGGGGAAGGGGAAGTCTTAGGAGAAGGAAGGCCAAGAAGGAACATAGAGACAGTGGAGTTGGCTCTTTAGCCAATTATTCCTCAGTAATCAAGGTATTTTTTTCCTCATTTGGGTTCCTAATTGTTTTTTGCTTGAACTTGCACTAACAGCTAACCAACTTGGATAACTGCTTATTATAGCTGCTGGTTCTTCCTAAAAACTTTCCTTTTTTTTCTTTTCCCCCCTTTTCCAAACACTACAAAATACATGGCTTATTCTTTACATGGAATGCTCATCTTGTGAAACATTCCATTTTTTAATTACTGCTGAATCACTTGTCATATTCCTAATAAAAATGTACACCTGTCATCATGAGTACTTAATCACTTTAGATACAAGTCAGATAAGCTGTTGCTAGAGAAAAAATTCGAGGATGTTAAATGTTGGATCTTGTTTAGGATTCAGAACACTGATCCCCACATAGGAACTGAAACTCCTTGCCTGGGTTATGGTAGACCTTGAAGTTCAGAGACTTCAGAGAAGTTCAGAGCTGTTTGGCAGAGAAAATAATAGTTCCTCCTTATTCCTTATTGGTTAAAGTTCAATTTGATGGTGTCTATCTTTTCATAAAGGCCAACACTAGAACAGATGGGCTTAGATTACAGCAAGAAGAATTGAAGTTATATTCAAAAAAGAATTCCTTTATAGAGAGGGACACTAAATGCTGAGTTAACTGAGGGAGGCTATGAAACCTTGGAGATCTTTAAGAATAGGAAATATAATCATTTTGGGTTGAATTATTCAAGTGTAGTCCTGCTTAAATGTCTTTTGGAGATTCTTACTGGCTTTATATGTTCTTATTTTCCCCAGTGATTTATGGGTTCCATTTAATGGAAATGGAATTTGCATCATTGGGCTGAGGGGCTTTTTTGTTGTTGTTGTTGGGAACTAGGAGTAAATCCAAGAATGCATTTCTCAAAATAGTCTCAAATAGGATAACATAGAAGTATACTTTGAAGATTCATTTAGGAATATGTATGGAAAAAGGCTCATTGGCTGACACTTTTCTGATTCCATGTATTATGGAATTCTGAAGCCCTTTTGGTGAGCATCAGGGACTGATTTGGTCCATTTAAAACTATTATTAGCCTGGGAGTCTTATAGACATATGGACATAGACAGGCTCATAGTACTAGATAGGAATAGTTGCAAGGCCTGCTCTGTTGTGGCTTGAGGATGCCAGGGACCTCTGGTTGAATATCATGAAATGAGGACTTTTTTGGAATTTCTGAAAGGCTTTCAGCTGGGACAGGTCAGGACTCATTTTTGTTGACCAAAAAATCCTGGGAATGAGATTTTCCAGATCTAGATCATTAGACTTAGGGGATTTTTCAGTGAGTTTTGGGAAAAGAAATCAGGGTCACATTTCTGAAATTTCCTGAATAAGGCATTCATTCAAACACCTGAGACTCATTGGGACTTTCCATGATGTGTCATGAAATAAAAGGTTGTTTTGTTTTGTTTTAATCTTTGGGTCAAAGGAAAATAAAATCCTTAAGATTTTATCACATGCTGGTGCTATGGTATATATCATATTGCTGTATGACTAATCTTCCACTGCACATAAATTTGTCATTACTTTGCTCAAAAACCTTCACTGCCGTTCCCACTACCCCCACCCTGGTAAAACTCTTTTGCCCAGCACTTAAGGCATTTCTCAATTTGGCACCACCCCTACCTTTCTAGTCTTACCTCCTATTACTACCCAAAATATCATATGAAGTAAGGAATATAGAACACTTTGGAAAACTTTAAAGTGCTATGTAAATATAACAAAACAATGATACTACTACTACCACCACCATCACCACCACCATCATCGCCACCATTACCAACAACACTCTTTACCCTCTGGGCAAGCTGGACTACTTTCTGTCTTTCAAATGTTCTCAGTATTCTCCTGAATACTCAGGACCTTTGCTTGTGCTATTCCTGGTGACAGTGAATATTCTTCTTTGTCTGTTGAGTTGTTACCCATCTTTTAAAACCCAGTCCAAATTGCAATATCCTCTAAGAAGCCTTCCCCAATGCTCCAGGGATGACTTTCTCTCAGACTTTTCCTAGTAATTTGCTTTGCACCTCCTTAGTAAATTGATGTGTTATTGTATATTCCAGTTATCTATATATGAGTCATATTCCCCTGGTAGACTAGAACTTCCAAGAGACCTGGGATCATGGCTTATCTCAGCTTTTAACCCTAACCCTAACCCGACACCTAATAAATGTTTGTTGAATGAAATTGAATTAGGTGAACTCCCATATAGTTAATATTTATTGAAAAAACACAGCTCTAAACAAAACCAGGCAATATAGAATTTTGTTTTGTCATAAAAAGAAAATACTATTTCATTAGCTAGAGGCAGGTTATAGGCTGTTTGACAATAAATCCTCACCAAGTAATCTAGTGGGATCTCAGATTCCCAGGGGATTATTTGGCCTAGGAAAACAGTAATAATTGATGTTATAATAGTAGCTCACCTTTCTCTAGCACTTAGAGGTTTATGAAGTGCTTTCCACACAACCATGCTGAGATGGATGGTGCAAACATTATTATCCCCATTTCATGGTTGAATAACTTAGGCTTAGAGAAGGGGATGACTTATCCAGTGTCACCCCAGCTAGTCAGTATCAGAGTTGGGACTCTAGGACCAGTGGTCTTTCCACTTGACTCTACTGCCTACCCATTAGACATACAACGCAGAACTGTGTAAGGGAAAAACTAGGTTGGGAATCAGGAAGCTTGGGTTCTAATCCCAGATCTGCTCCTTACTAGCTGTGTGAAATTGGGCAAGTCATTTTTCCCTTTACTGGGTCTCAATTTTCCCCTCCATAAAATGAATGGGGTGGGTAGAGGAGTAGATTAATGATTTCTAAGATCCTTTCTAGCTCTGAGATTCCTTAAAGTAAAAAAAAAATGTCTAAAAAGTTTTAACAAGGTTTCTTGATTTCTACAGAAGGGAAACATTCTTGGTCAGGTGGCAATTTCTCTGAGAATAGCATAGGAGAAGTTTTTAGGCTGCCTAAGAGCTATTCTTACTTTAATTTATGCTCAGATAAAGAGAAGGCTGGGTCAGCATGAAGAGTACAATTCAGTGCAGATGGATGTCTTTTTATTTCAGAAAGAATCACTGGTTGGGGTGAGAGGTCACTTCTACACATTAGGAGAGGAGAGAGGGGAGAGAGAATGAAAGATAGAGATATAGACAAACAGAGAGAAGGGAGAGAGGAGAGAGAGAGAGAGAGAGAGAGAGAGAGAGAGAGAGAGAGAGAGAGAGAGAGAGAGAGAGAGAGAGAGATGGAAATAAAACATTTGACCTGCCCCAATCTCACTGAATACCCTTGTGTAAACACGTTTAAATTCAAATCAGCACCTTACAAATGTAGCTTTTCATATAGACTGAAGTCAGATAAAGTAATAGTTTTTGCTTTACACTGCCAAGTCTCATACTGGTTTCCCAGCTAAAGCCAGTCTTTTCTTCAGTTTCTGGAAGAAATAATAAATACTCCTTGGCTCACAATTGGTGAGCACTTTTTTGTTTCTTTCTACACAGATATGTGCCAACAATTAAAGACATTGAAATGTACCATTCTTATCAGGGATCCCCTTCAGAGCTACACCTTGTTGACCAGTTTATGTTAGAGGTAAGCTGAATGTATTTCTGCAGTGAGTGGGTTAATGGGCCCTCAAGACCTGGCCACCTTTGATCTGTTATTCACTTTTCTGCATAGGGAGCTGCACCAGAGGAGTTGGAGTTCCTAAGAATGAGAGTGCTTATAATTTCAAGGAAATTTCATGTACCAAAGCTCATGAGGCATTTAAAAAATCTTTCAGTGGGACTATATTTTTTTGGGGGGGGGGCAGAGTAACTTCATTGTCAATTTCATCAAGGAAGATATGACCAACTGATCCATTGGACCTTTTGTCAAGTAATGATAATGCCTGTATGAGCTTTGTTTTTTGAAAGTGAAAGGATAGAATTTTTTTTGGGGTGCAAAATGTAATGTTTAAGAGGGACTGGCAGTGGTTAATGCATGGCTCACTCATTCCTACTCAGTTCTGCATGACAAATATCCTGATATTTCTGAACAGTAGTCATTCTTTAGAGTAATTTGATGACATGACTCAGCACTCATGGGGCTCAAAATATGAATTAAAACATAATTTGTTATGCCAGTCCATGGGTGGCAGCAGGACAGAACTGGACAGGTGGATCACTTATGAGAAATTCAGACAAATGTGAAGGATATGTCATAAGCTTCAGGTTTAGGCAATTAAAGGAATAAAAACTGAAGACATAAATTAGGATAGGGAGGAAAAAGAAATGCCAGGGGTCCTAGGCAGACAGGTCTAGAGCCCAAGAGGTCAGTGAAACCAAGGATGAGTAACTAGTCAGAGTGGTCCTAGTGAGCAAGGTTCTGACCTCTGATCTTAGGTCAGGGGGTATTTCTTCTATGCACTATTTTTATACTTCTTAGGCTTAAAAGTATTGACTGGCCATGAAAAGGTCAGAGACCTGCAGGTGAATCCTGCTTCTGGATGTGACTGGAGCAGAGAAACCAGATATAATTACAATTACATGTTTAAGCCTTGTGGTAGTAGAGTGGGGTGCATCATCATCATCATCATCATCATCATCATCATCATCATCATCATCATGATATGCATTTATATAGTGCTTTATAGTTTACAAAGCTTTGTAAATATTGTCTTACTCCTTGCAAGAACCCTGGGAGATAGGTGCTATTATTATCACCATTTTACAAAAAGGGAAACAGAGGCTTAGTGACTATTCCAGGTTCAAACAGTGAGTAAGTGTCTGAAGCTATATTTGAACTCAGATCTTCCTGACTCCAGGTGCAGCACCCTACCCACTATACCACTTAGATGTCTAGAGTCCTCAATAATAGAAACCCCCAAGCTTTCCCTCTTAAGTCAATCTTATGTGAATGTTAAAGAGGGAAATTAGAGAATCTTTATTCAGGTTTAAGACTCACAAGATCATTAGCTGAAAAGGGCTTTATAGATGATCTAAGCTCATCCTGTCATTTCATAGATGCTTAAGTACCCAAGGTAACAGCTGCAAGTTGGAGGTGATGGTTTAAAGTGGTTTAAAGTGGTTTAAAGTGTATATATGTTTTGAATGTCCAAAATGTTATGTCTTTAATTTGTCTAGAAATCATATGGACACATAATTTTTTTTCAGTGGGGATGGATTCTGAGGTAGGGGATAAACTTTGGGGCAAAACAGCATGCATTTAAACAGCTGATGCTAAGATTGAAAAATAAGAAACAAAGCAACAATGTAGGACAAGGAAAGGGGGAGCTCCCAAGCCTCCATATTATAACCTTCTTTTTTTTTTGTCTGTGTCTAAGCTTGTCTTTCCCTACCTGGTACAAGTGGGGCAGATCTTCTCAGATCATGCCATGTCTAGATGTGGGGCAATGAACATTGAAAACACCTGGGTATATTCAGTCTGGAGAAGAGAAGACTCCAGGGCATTTATTGGCTATCTTCAAGTATTTTAAGGGCCATCATGTGGAGGAGAAGGGAATAATCACTTATTAAGCACCTACTATGTGCCTGGCACAGTGCTAAGATCTTTTACAAATATTAACTCATTCAATCTTCACAGCAACACTGTGATAGATGCTATTTTATCATTATTTTACAGTTGAAGAAACTGAGGCAGACAGCAGTTAGGTGTGACTTGCCCAGGGTCACATAACTCGTGGGTCTTCATGACTTCAGTCCCAGTACTACAGCATTTTTAGGTAGAAGTTGCTGGAAAGAAGGTTTTGGCTTTGTGTAAAGAAAAACTTTCTAACAATTATAGCTATTGAAAGGTCGAATTGGCTTTTAAAAGGTAATCTGTTCCCCATCACTGGTTATACTAAATGGAATGACTACTTTGCATGAATGTTGCACAGGGTGTGCTCAGGTATGGTTTGGACTGGATGGATTCTGAAATTCCTTCCAATTCTGAGGTCCTGCGATTTCTTTGAATATTGATAAATTTCACAATAGAGAAGATGGGGGCTTAAAAGTACATTGGGTTTTGGGGACAGGCATTTTGTTCTTTATGTTCCATCTTCCTCCCCATTTGCTGCCCCCTTTCCTTGAAGAGTGAGTGGCTCTATCTTTTTGTCCCAGAATAATTCACAATTTATTTAAAAGTAATCTGTGCTTGCTGCTGTATTTTTCTCTTTGTTTTGCTGATTTCCTCTTAATCATCTTCTGTGCAGATGTGTAAAATCCCTCATTTAGGCCAAAGGTTGGAGCTCTTGCTTATGATAAGAGAACTTCCAGGGTATGTGAAAGATCTTCAGCCTGTAAGTAGAAGGGCTTTCTTTGGTTCCTTTGTAATTGAAATTCATCAGTTAGGTCCTATTAAAGCACCAGACAGAGCCCATTCAAATCTTAAGCCTTGTAAAGGAAATGAGACTTTTCCATGGAAAAGATTCCTCAACCTTAATATTACCAGTTCATACTGTAATGATCCAGCCCTATCTTCCAGATGTCGTTTTGTTGCATTATTCAGAGGCAACGTGAAAAAGGGTTTTGATCTCCAGCTTATAGCTTTTATAGCCAAGGGAATCCTAAGAAGTATTTTACCAACTTAGAGATGGGATGGATTTGAAATACTGTGCCCAGGCTATCTGCTACCAGGTTTTAAATACCCGAGGGCAAAGCCTCCTGCTGCTATTGTTTGTCCCCCTCCACCCCCTCCCAGCACCCCAAGGAAATGCTTTCTGGCGTGATGGTGTGCTCTCCCAACCAATCAGGCGATCTATTACTGAATCGAAGTTACCTTTCAGCCTGTTTTTGGGGTGTCACTGTGACCCCTTATGATGTACAGCACAAAGAACACCAGCTCTGGAATCAGAGAACCTGGGTTCAAATCCCACCTCTGACACTATGTGACCTTGGACAAGCCACTTCATTAAGACCTGAATTTCCTCATAAATTGGGGGGGGGTGTTAGACTAGATGGATCCTAAGGAAAGAAGGGGAAAAAACATTTTTAAAGCATCTACTATGTACCAAGCACTGTGCCAAGTTTTTTTTTTACAAGCCCAGCCCTCTATCTACTGCATCACCTCACTACCCATTCTTGCTCAGGGTCTATAATCCTTTGTTACAGAAGTCAATGGGGAAATCTTTGATTGCATTTAAGGGACTAACTGGGTCCAATTCTGTGGTTGTTACTTAAGGGAGAAAAAATCCAGCTTTCTTGCCTTCAGTGCACATTCCTTCCCTTGCTACTCCTCAGTAAGTCTGGTCTTCAGACTATTGAAGCCCACATAGTGACGTAAGAGGGGAGCTGAGCAATGATTGATCAGGCAGGTGTGCTGATGAAATTAGGTCTTACTTATTATTCTTTATGTCTTTTCACTAAAATAGAGATATACTAAATTCCAAAGACATAAGATTATTTTCAGTGTCTACAGTCTTTTCAAACAACCCCTGAGAATTTAGTGAGGGGTTGATATTTTAAAATCTGCATTGTTGACTTCAGCTGGGGGAAATCTCTTCTTGACTAAAAGACTTCACTTTATTCACAGTGTATGGCAGAACTTAACCAAAATTTCTTTGTTCCAGCTATTAAACCAGAAAATCCAAGCATGCCAACAGCTGAAAGGCAGTCAGATGTTTGTGGCTGTATTAGAATATCTCTTAGCCATAGGTAACTACTTAAATGAGAAGGCTGGGAAAGAGAAAGCCAGAGGATTTCGATTATCTTCTCTTTCTAAAGTAAGTTAAGATTTCACCCTTTGTGACAGGAAATTGATTTAGATCTCCTAGAATCCATTATTATTTTAAAGAGCTTCCTACTCTTATCTTTTTTGCTGCTGGCATCCAATAGTAAAAAGTTGCCTCTGTGATGGAAGGGGGCTAATATTTGCTGATTTAAAATAGCTAGTCAAAAAGAATCTTGGAGAATCATTCAAAAACCCCTCCAGTTCAGTGGGTTAATTGCCATAATTTTATAACCATTAACACCAGCAGTAAATCAAGCACTAACTTTGGCACCAGCGCTGTGCTAGGTGCTATAGCTAACATTTTTTTGGTACTTTAAGGTTTGCAAAGCATTGTGAGTATTTTATCTCAATGAATTCTCACAATAATCCTGGGAGGTAGATGCTATTATTATCCTTATATTGCAGATGATGTAACTGAGGGGAGGTCAAGAAACTTGCCTAGGGTCCCACAGGCAGTATCCTGGGCAGGATTTACAATCAGGTCTTCTTGAGTCCAAGTACCGCACACTCATACACTGTACCACCTAGCTGCATTCTATGGGAAATAAAATCAAGAGTAAGAAACAGTTCCTGCCCACAAGGATATCATATTCTGCAGTCTCTTTACTGCTAATTATCTTCTCCATGTTTCTGCCCTGCCCTCTTACTCCTGCCCCAACATACTATGCTCGTTTCCAGGGCTACTATACTAACCTTGGCTATGCAACTGGCTGTGATTGCATGCTGCGTTATCAAAATGTGTCTAACCAGCCTTCTTCATCTCTCACAGTTAGTCTAGTTTCCCACACTGCCTCATCTCCCTGTGGGAGTTTGTGTGCCCTGCCTGGAGTGTGGGCACACACTTATCACTGCCTCTGGTCAGAGTTGGCTTGATCATATCCTCAAGAGAGGAGGTTTCCTTGAGTTGTCCATTTTCACTGTTAAGGCAGGCAAGACAGCCTACTGTTTTTACTCATTCATTAGTAGGGCAAACTAAGATAAGTCACTGATGATGAAGCTTTCTTTGTAGACTGATGCCCAAGATATTTGCTTTGTAGAGACCAAGGCTTGGGAAATAAAGGGGAGGGATTAACTTGAGCTTTTTATTATCAAGCAACCATCTAGTCTAACTATATGCAGGGCCACTTCTGTGTGTATTGTATGTGTGCACACATATATAAAGCTAGTTACATTCAGGCCTTGGAGTTGTCTTTCAAATATGTAATTTATTTAGTTCTTAACCAGTCCCTTAACACACTTACCTTGTAAATGGCACCTCAGTTGTGTTGCCATCCGGTCTTTTGAGAAGCAGCCTCTTTACCTGTCTCATCAGGATTTACTGGCAGAAAATGTTACCACTAAGCAGAGTTTTCCTCCTCATCTCAGCAGTAATGGAATGTGATCTCCTGATCCCATTCTAAGCACTGAATACAAATTCTCTAAGCTACCTTGAACCCTTAAGAATATTATTAAATTATACCTGGTCTGTAAATAGGAGATGCCAGAATTTTTTCCCCCCACTGCTTTCTATAGACTTTAATATATGAGTGAGTGATTTATAACACTGGTGACAATTGGGTGACACAACTTGAAGTTTTTTTTATACCAGCTGTAATACCACATCTATCATAATGAAAAATGTCTATGAAATTATTTTCTGCCAAAGAATATCTTCCCAGATTCTATTAAGAACTTGCTATCTGCACGAATACCACATGATGCTGAAATGCACCATTTTAAATGGGCAGGAGAAGAGGATGCCCCGTAACATTCTCTTTTGGTATGAGTAAAATTCTAATCCACTGCCATCCATTAAGGTGCTGTCCTTGTTTTGGGAAACTTCAAAGAGAGAATGTAGGAAAGTTGGAGGATGTTAGGAAGGTGGATTCTGTAATAGAAATTATTTTTATCAGGATCATATGAAGCCCAGTTGGGAGGGATCAGATTCCTGTTGTGTTTTCACTTATTGTCTGATGAATCCAGGAACTATCAAATTCCTGCTTGTCCTAATTAAAAAAAATCATTAATTTCTTCTGTCTGTCTCTTGTTTCGGTGCTCTGTGTAGTTGTCCCTGCTTCGAGGCAAGGAGAGGAAGTTTACCTTGGTTCATGCCCTTGTGGAACAGATCCTTTTACACCAGCCCCATTTGGCCAAATTTCCTCAGGAACTGACAGAATTTGAAGCTGCTCCTGGAGGTAAGAGGATCAGAAATTCCCCTTCCACTTGGGAAAATGGCTTCAACATACAAGTGCCTTGTTAACACCCATTTCCATTGCTTTTCAGCATCTATCAAAGGCCTCAAGGTTGAAGTGGATGGTATGTAAATAGACCTAAAATCACGTGTGCCTTTTTGTACCTACTTTGGGCACTCATTTGGAAAGAATTTTTTGTTTGTTTCTCTTAGCTTGGAGTTCTAAGGAGAACGAAAGGTTCAATGACAATGTTTAACCTGTCATATGGCAGGGAGGGATTTAGAAATATGTTTTAAAGAGGATGCTCATCATTTAGAAATAATGGAATTGGAAATATACTATAAATGGCATAAACACTGTGTTTCCTCCCTCCCAGTCCTCTAACCTTAATTTAGATAAGTCCAATGCACTAGCAGCTAGGAACCTTTGCTTCCTGTTGTTCTAAAACCTCTTTTCAGCCTTTTTTTCTTTAGTTTCTTCATCTGCAAAGTGGATATAATCACATCTGCTCCATAAAGACCAAAGGAAATACTATATTTGACAATGCTTTGAAGAGCATTAAGTGTGCTAATTCTCAAAGGATAATTGAGTTAACTCCTTCTCCCTTAATCAGTTATCCCTTTGCAGTGGATAGACTGGTGAACCTAGAGTCAGGAAGACTGGGTTCAACTCTGTCCTCAGACACTTACTAGCTGGGTGACTCTGGGCAAGTCACTTAGCCTCTGTTTGCCTCAGTTTTCTCAGCTCTAAAAATAATAACAGCACCTACCTCACAGGGTTGTTGTGAGGATCAAATGAGATAATATTTGTAAAGTCCTTAGTATAGTATCTGGCACAGAGTAGATGCTATAAAAATGCATTTTTTTCATCCATCTATCCATCCATCCAATCATTCTTTCATTCACTCATTGGGCTGGAGAAAATGAGGGTCACATGTTTCAATATGGCCTGGGACATGAAACTTCCAAAGAAGTTACCAAAGGAGCCAAAGGTGGGAAGTGAGTATGAGGGGGATGGTGTTTAAGGGAGACACATAAACATACAAATAGGAGAAACCAAAGAAGACAAGATAGCATCCATACAGAGGGAAACTGCTTCTTGCTCAATAGTTTTGTTTTATTTTGTTTTGAAATTGAGTCTCCCTATCTCAATCAGGCTAACATGCAACAGTCTCTCATGGGCCTGGCCCCACTTGCAATCAGCATGGAAGCTTTGACCTACTCCTTTTCTGACATGGGCCATCTTGTTTACCCTTCTTTAAGTTGCCTGGTGGTCCCTTTGCTCCCTGAAGCTCACCATATTGGTGCTGGATTAGTGTGGATATCACCTAACTGGCTTTAGTCTTACTGTAGTTCAGAACTCCCAAACTCAAGCAATATGTCAGCCTCAGTTTCCCCCAGTACTAGGGTTTAAAGGCATGTGGCAGCACTCATAGCCCTACAGCTATTTCTTCTGGGATAAGACTGTGATAGCTCCTCTTGGCAAGAATAGAATCATGAGATGAGTGATAGGGCAAGAAGTATGGCCAAAACAGAGCAGCCAAATGATAAAATCTGTTGGAAGAGGCATCAGCATCTTAATCCAGATTGCTGGTGGTTGCTCTTGAGAAGGAGATAGAGACTAGATGAGATAATTCAGGTCCTGAGTCTTACCACTAACTGACTTGACTTCAAACTACTGGAGGCGATGAGTGGTAAAGCAACTTGGAGAGGTTTGCTAATTCTGGTATTTGGGACATTTGTTGGCTCTTGGTGAGAGAGTTGGTAGGCAGATCTAAGTCTAAATATGTGGACTACATCTTGGATTTTTCAAGTTTGGGGCATGCCTCTAGATTTGGCAATTTGTATGTGGGAGAAATTGCAGACATCTACCCTTATGGCAGTTGTCCTGAAATAGTTTATTTTATTCCTTCTACCTTTATGGGAATGGGTGAAACACTATATGTAGTCAAGTCATGTTTATATAGTCAATTCTATTATGCCATGGTCATGTGATTGGGGGTAAATTGAAATGCAACAGAGGAGAATGATGAATCTCCCAGTGAGTGGAGCCATGAGCCATAGCAATCTAAATGGGTAAGTCTACCCAAATAGGTACTCACTTAGGCTAATGAAATGAACACTGCTGTCCAGAAAGGGGCAGTGCTAAGGGATAGAAGGCTTCCTCTCTTTGATAAATATGCAGAGTTTAATATTTTCCCTGCACATCTTTTAGTGTTGGGCAAAATGCATGAACTCTCAAGTGAATATGAGACTGCCAATTCTGTGGCCTAGTCTCTCAAAAGGATCCAGTTTTTTTTTATATTTTTGGTATTTATGATTAGATTTTTGGAATTTGACATGTTTAGCTCCTAGGCCCAGATTGTCCTTATCTAGTTGATGGTTACACTCCAGATGCCAGAGTTCCAGGACATAGCTTAGGTACAGATGTCCACATCAGTTGCTTCTACCAAAAGTTAGCAAATGTTCTCATTGTTGGTGTGGATCTCTCTCTCTCTCTCTCTCTCTCTCTCTCTCTCTCTCTCTCTCTCTCTGTTTAACCAATCATAACCTCCTGTATGGCCAGTATCCAACCTATTGCGGGACTCAAGACCTGAGACATGTTGGTTTATAGGCATGCTGGTTAATCTCTGCCTCCTCCATAAGGGTAGCCACCCTCAATCTAGATTTGGATACTGATTCATCTTCTAGTTGATCCTGCCTGCTGGCTACTCTGCTCCAGCTATGATCTCATTCTCTTTTACTTCACTGCTTTACTTCTGAGTCTGTTCCTGCCCAGAGATTCAGTCTCACTATCACAGTCTCATTCTGGAAAAAAATGGCTGCAGAGCTCCAGACAGGAACTCTTCATGTGCATGTCATATTATTCTTCTGTGCCTCTCCCTCCCCCTTAAAAGTCCAAACTCTGATTAAATCCTTGCTGTAGAATGTGGGATATCATAAATTTCCTTTGAGTTTATTAGAGAGATAGACTTTCCAAGCTATTCATAAGGAAAGTGAATGTAGTGAATATATTCATAAGGAGAGGAAATATATAAAAATAGTGACCATTAAGGGCTGTAAATAGAGTAGAACTAGTTCTGGGGGCAGCAGGGAATTTGCCCAGAGGCCTGGAGAGTGATTTGTATTATTTTCCCCCATTTTTCAAGAATGATATGAGGAAAGGGGAAATAGAAGGGGCTGCAGCCCTCTATAAACTGCTTGGTGGAAATCTGGCCAGGTTGCTTTGGGACATGATTATGCCATTACCTATAAACTTGTCTGGAGAAACCAATGGTGCCAGAGATCTCTAGACATAGGGAATTTTGCATCATTATACATTCTGCAAGTCCCAAATGTTTCTCAAGCACCATACTTATCACTGAAATTTTTAGTGCCAATAAGATTTTAATTGGAGCATGGCAAAAAAAATCTAACATTTATGTAGCACTTTAAGTTTTACAAAGAACTTTACATATATTATCTTATTTGGTTCTCACAACAGCCTTATGAGGTTTATGCTGTTATTATCTTCATTTTACAGAAAAGGAAAAGGAGTCTGATAGAGCTTAAGTGACTTGCCCAGGGTCACACATCTGAAGTTGGATTTGAACTGAGGTCTTCCTGACTTTAGGTCCTCTTTTGGCATATTGTTCCTTATTTCAACCAAAACTATCTAGTTATCTGCCAGGTGAAATTTCAATTGATGTTCTTAGTGAAGATGGAGGGGAATAGTGGATAAAATGTTGGATTCAGAGTCAGAAAGACCTGGGTTCAAATCTCACCTCTGACATTTATTAGATGTGTATACCTGATGGCTCACAACTTCCCTGAGCCTCAGGGAGTTTTTAGACATCTCCCAAGTTCTTGATGGATTGCATCTTCTAGTGCAATACCGATGAAATCACAGGTCCTTGACACAAATGACCCAAAAGTACTGCAAAATTGAAGAAAACTGAAATTGTGTCAAATATGGTTTTAAATGTATTTTAGCTCTTTGAAAATGAACAATCCATTCATGGTGCATATGGTAACTCTGAAATGAGATCATTCAAAGTACGAGGAAAGGGAAATTTCCGTTAATCAGTATTTTGGTCAACTAAGTATACTTTCTCATCATAAGCCAGTCCTAGGAATTATTATCATATTAACACTGCCTTATATCTTTTCAAAGCTTAGGCCTGTTAAAGTGATGTCCCTTATGACTTTTTCTTCCAGTAACCACATGTCCCCAGGGTCGCAAGAGAAACAGCAACATCTTGCAAAAGAACCTGGGTAAATTTTGTCCAGTTTTCTACACTAAGCTCTGCAATGTGCTTTCTGGAGATGTACAAATGGTCCTTTGTGGACTCACTTGTAGAAAGGGGGAGTTCACAGCATCATAGAATTTGAAATTCTTTTCCCATGAAGGTCTTTCCTACAGTGGGCTATGCTAAATGGCTTAGGTCATATCAGCCACCAGTCCAGAAATTAAAGAGTAGGATTGATTTGTTGTGTTTATATTTCTGCCCACATACTTGGCTAATTCTTATTTTGACATTAGTTTTAAGGAAAGAATTAGAAAAAATTATTCAGTACAAGAAGATTCTCAAACCTAAGAGTCTCCGACCTTCAGAGCAGGAGAACCAGTTTCACCAGGATCTTAAGGTAATTTTTAAATGAATTATTCGTCTGTTGAACAGTCATACTGACTGCAAAGCACTAATTTATTTTTCAGCAGCATACATTATTTACTGAATTTATTATTTGACTGGTTAGAATAAATTTCTATTAAAAATTAGTCTCTGCTATGAGCATATCTTTTAACAACAACAAAATACTTCTTATTCATAAGAACACAGAAAATAGAACTTAAGTCTCTAAGTGACTGAGTCCAACCCTCTCATTTTGTAGATGTAAAGACTGAGGTTCAGAGAAAGAAAAATAACTTGTCTAAGATTACACAACTTAGTTTCCTCATTTTTAGAATGAGAGAGATGGACTAGATATATTCATAGTTGCCTTCCAGTTCTAAATCCCTTGATCCAAGACACCAACAGAGCTGGTAGTAAAACACAGAGGAGGAAACCGAGGCCCAGAGAGCAAAAGATTTAAGTATGAAAAAACAACAGGAACGTATGGCCCAGATTTTTTCTGATTCTTAAGACGTTTTTGTTGTACTGTATATATATTGGAAGAAAAGAAAGGCACAGGAATCTAAGGCTGGGTTCAGAATTGAAAATTTGGCATTGCTTTGTTCTTTCTAATCCCAGTTCTGCTGTTATAACCTTTTGGATAAAGGCTGCCTAGTTGCATGCTGGGAATAATTACTATGCCACCCAAGAGTTTACAAGTTTTTTTTTTTTTTGGTGTTTGTCACTAGTCCTAAAGATGAAAAATGTATTAGCAGGAAAAAGCTGAACTTTATTGTGGTTATTTTGAGAACTAAACGTGGGGATGGCAGAAAATGGGATGGAGAACAGAAATGTACCCTCAAGTGCTTACTTAGATGAAATATCATTCCAAACACCTTTATTAAATGGAAAATCCCTCTATCAGGCAATACTGAAATCCTTTCCAATCTTTGAATATTGTTGGAGGACAAGCTCACCATCTATTAATGTTATTGCTTAATTATAAGCTTATAGTCAGGTATTGCAGTCATGCCATAAACCTGTCTCAAGTCAAGATTGCACTTTTATTACAGGATCTAATTCAGAAGTATAAAGAGGACCTTTGTCAGCTGTCAAAAAGATGTGATGAAATGAAGAAACTCTATGGTGACATTCTGGTAAATGGTGTATTTAAAAAAATAATTCAAATAAATCTTGCATTAAAAAATTGATAAAATGTTCAAACCTTCATATATCTGAAGTAGTACTGTGATATTAGAGTTTCTATCTAAAATATTAATAGAATGGAAGAATTTTAGCATAGATGACAAATTCCAGGTCTCACTCTTTTTTTTTTTAACATATGAGAAATGAAATGCTTTCAATTAGCATTTTGACTTTCTCATGGGGTATTATTTTAAACAAATGGACTTAAAAGGCTATGTGTAGAAGAAGAAAGACCACATTCTTTTGTATTAATTCAAAAGCTTAAATATGGTTACTTCTGAGAATCTGTATCTTTCTATGATGCAACTAAAGTGAACGCAAAGTCTGATGAGATTGGGGTGACCCAAGGTGACCACTGGCTGAACAAAATCAGTTATTAAAAGAGTTTACAATCAGAGGATTTAATGTTTAACTAAAATATTAATGTTGTAATGAAGTACAGAAGTCTTCTAACATTATGTATAAACTTAAAAACCTATCCACCTCACTGGTTTAAGTTTAATATAAGGCAGAATATCTTAACCATATGTTCTGAGACTTTTAGGATGTTTGACCTGGAACTCCATAAAAACAACGTAGATCAAACCATTCATTTTACAAGAGGAAACTAAGGCCTAGGGAAGAAAAATAACTTGCATAAACTTAATAAATTTTAGTGTCCATATCTTTAAAATGAGTGTATGTGTGTGTGTGTCATTCTCTGAGATAGAATTATATTAATGTGCGTACATTCTTTTTTTTTTTAATTTTTAGGCAATTGGGGTTAAGTGACTTGCCCAGGGTCACGTAGCTAGTAAGTGTCAAGTGTTTGGTCTGAGGCCAGATTTGAACTCAGGTCCTCCTGACTTCAAGGCTGATGCTCTATCCACTGTGCCACCTAGCTGCCCCCTATATGTGTATTTCTTTTCTTTTTTTTGGATGAGACCATCAGGGTTAAGTGACTTGCCCAGGCACAGCTAGTAAGTGTAAAGTATCTGAGGTCAGATTTGAACTCAGGTCCTCCTTACTCCAAAGCTGGAGTTCTATCCATTGTGCTATCTAGCTGCCCCCAAAGTGTGCACATTCTACAAGTCTATAAGCCAAACACTACTAGCTTGTTTAACTGTGGCCACTTTTAGTATAAATCAATATCTTCTTCCAACTTTAAAACTTTTTTCTTTTGCCTTGAAAACATTATGTTCTAGGTTAACAAAAACTTTAAATTATGAAAATAAATAAAACATTTTTTTTTAAAATTCTAAATAATTAACTTTCAAATGTTGTTTATTGTAAGTTCATAGCATGTTTACTTCTGAAATTATTAAAGCTTAAAAATGCACTAAAACTTTTGGGACAACCTGTATATGTGCATTGATATAAAAACTTAGTTGACTGGTCTTCCCCTTACGTGTTATAATCTGGATAATAGGTTACTTTTCATGGTAATAAAAAGATCATTGGTGAATTCGAGAAAAAAAAACGTGTTTTGAGTAGGAAGGCAAATATTTTCATTGCATTCACATTGTAGCCACCTAATGACATACCTTGGATGCAGGGAATATTTAGTATTTGAAACTGGAGGCTAATGATCAATTTGATGAAGTTGGTAGCCTCTGGAAGTGACTGTGCACTGCTAATGACCCCAATGAGCCATTAATCTTGAAAAAAATGCCCTATGTCTAGGCTACTGCTTTCATAAATGGAATATGAATAAAATTTGCCATAGGCATATTAATTATTCCTATGGACAAAGCCCTTTTAGTTAGTACATATAAGAGACTTGGAGATGAGGCAATGAGGTGAAGTCAAAGTGTTGTGAATCTGTGAAGAACCTTGTCCTTTTCCTAGTTTCTCCTCTTCCCTCTACCCCAGTAGAGATCTTAGAAAGTCCCACAGGATCCTACTCTGAGGTTCAATTCACTTCCAGTGAAATCCCTTTTTATAGCATTGTTTTTTATTCTCTTCCCAGAGAGTCAACTTGGAAGTCTCACAGTTATTCATTTCTTCTGCTACATATTAGCAAGTCAGATTAAGTTTCTGTTGCTTCTTGGTCTGTGATAATGAAAAGTTGGAACAAATAACCACCAGTTTTTCCTTCTCACTCATGGAATTTTCTCTGTAACAATATAGTGATACTTTTTTTTAATGTCTAAAATTGGGGGTTAGGCCCATTTAAGCTAGTCATATTATTAGTGACTCTCATCCTATGGAGGTATAAAATGTCAGGGGACACGATTTGACAGATGGCAGAGTCAAAGCCATATAATAATGAAATGTGTTTACTGTATTTACAAAGCCTTAGGGTCTCAATCAGGTTTCCTAGTCCCCAGCAGATCCTGGTCTCCCTCACCCCCAAGTCCACTACCAACTGCCTACATTTGCAATCAATTAATCTGGTATTAATGCCAAAGACTAAATATGGCAATTCTTTCAGACATTGGAAAAGGGAATAGACTTGTTCAGCTAGGTCTCAGAGGGTAGAACTAGCAGTAGTGACTGGACATTGTGATATGTAGAAATTGAATACAAAGAAAACACTTCCTAACAACCCAAAGATGCAGTGGAATACATTGGGAGATATTGAGTACCCCGTCATGAGGTTTTAGGCAAAGGCTATGATACCATTTGTTAGGTATGTTCTAGATGGGATCCTTTTTTTTTTTTTTAAGCATAGGATTAGACTATATAACTTCTCTGAGATCCCTAAGTAATGTGAAGAAAAACTCGATTCAGTTTAGATTCAAATTATTAAGTGCCTACTAAGTGCCAGGCTTGTGATTTGTGATATTATTGGCATGGGGAACTCCCAGAGAAGAAGCTCCCTTTTCCTCTGCAGATTAGCACAGAGCCTACAATTTATAGACTTATTGTCATAGAGAGTTGTCTAAGGTGGAGGCTAAGTAATTTGCCCAGTAATGTTGATTACACTAGCTAAGTTTTGTCTTACTCCCATTCATGGGAGGTTACACTTGATTTGGTCTTAGTATATGTCAGAGACTTTTTCACTCCAAGGCCAGATTTCTATCCAGTACGCCACTCTGTCTTCCCCCCTCTCCATCTCCAGACAGACAGATAGTCTGTCTGTCTATCCATCTGTCTTTCTTTCTCTGTCTGTTTCTCTCTTTTCCTCTTTTCTCTGCACTTCTAGGCACTTATGGTACAAATACAAAATCAAAACTCTCTGTCCTCAAAGAGCTTACATTCTTCTGGGGCAGTGGTGGGAGAAGGCGGCATGATATATATGCAGATAAGTAGGAAGAAGATATATTGACCTTGATTTCATTCAGTGAGAACACTAACGACTGGTGAGAATCAGGAAAAGCCTTCTTTGGAAGGTGGCAGTCAAGCCAAATCTTGGCTGCATAGAGATGATAATTGGACTTATGATACTGGACCTTAGTTGGCTAACAAAGAGAGAGAGTGTAGAGAAAGCAGAGAGGAGAAGGTTGTCTATGACAGAACCCTTGATGATTCAGCAAAAGAGATGGAGAAGGAATGTTCAGAATGCAAAGGAAGATATACTTTCCAGGAGGATGGTGTGGCCAACATTTTCAAATGTTGAGGAAAAATCAAGAAGGATAAAGACTTAGCAAAAGTCATTGGATTGAGCAGTTAAGAGATCACTGGTAACTTTGGAGAAAGCAGTTTCACTAGAGTGGTGGAGCTGAAAGTCAGATAACAAGGGTTTGAGAAGTGAATGTGATGTGTATTAAATGGAGGTAGCTAACAGGCAGCTATTTCGAGGAGTTTAGTAGGGGAAGAGAGGAGAGATATAGAGTGATAACTTGAAAGACTAGCAGATCAAATGAAGGTTTGTTTTTAATATGGAGGATAACTGAACATGCTTGTTAGAGATTGTAGATAAGAATGAGTGGGGTGACAGTAGCTATTTTTACTTTTTCTTAAAGAGAATATGTGAAATGTACAATGCATCATTGGACAGAATATCATGGTTGGATAACTGCTCCTTGACAGGTAAAACCCTAGTAATCCAGGCCACTAGGCTGAGTTGGCAGAAGTTTAAAGCACTGGAAAAAAGCAAAAAAGCACAGGTTAATTTGTGGGCCATTGGATCAATATCCAAGTGAAGGATTTTTACCCTGGTTTGTATAAATGATTGTTTGTCAAGCTATTTGAATGAGCCAATGTTGATGATACTAACTGAGTTTTGTTTTAGTCCCATACATAAGAGGGTACACTTGATTTAGGAATAGAACAGAGATAACTAGTTGATAAGGCCCAAAGCAGGTGGAGGTTAGAAGCATGGCATACTAAGCTAATAACTTGCCTTGGGAGAACAAGTTAATGAATTGGAGAGGTACAGGTGTCAGAAGTAAAGCATTGTAAGAATCAGAAATTCATCTGAGAGTAGGGCTCATGAAGCTCAAGTTTTTCATTTCAGTATATAAATGTTCAGTTCCAGGAAACAGAGAAAGGATCAAACTAGATTTAAAAAAGAGTAATTTTGTTTTGTGGTACTTCAGGTCCTCTTGAGCCAATGTGAGTTTCAAGCATGTGACTACACCCTTCCCTCCACCCCAAACCCTCCCTCCTTTCGCTCAAGTCAGCATCAGCTAGAGAGCTCCCTATGTGGTCACTATTTCTCTTGGACTCTATGGAATCCACAGGAATATGGACAAACTGAAGAGCAAACTAAAGATGTGGACACTATGACTTTCCGTATTCCACAATGTCCCAGGTGTCCCGAATTGGTGTATATAATAATATTTTTTGTTAAAGTAACTTAACAAAAATCTAAAACAAACAAAATTGAATATAGACTTATATAATTAAGGCTTTGGCTGCTTACTAAACAAACTACAACCTAATCCAGGGTTTGCCATGGTGAGGTGTTTAATTTCTTATTTATCTTTATCTAACACTGGGAACTGTATGTTCTGTCCTATTAAAATATTAGGTACCAGCCAGGAGGTTCTAACTTTAATGGGGGAAATACAGCCAGAGAGAGCTAGTCTTATTCCTTTGATGCTTCCCTGGAGATTTCTGAAGAGAGCTCTCTCTCTCTCTCAGGACACCTGACCCTAGCCCCTTTAGTTTTTTTGGATCTTATGGAACTGCTATATCCCTTCTGAAACTGACAGCACTTAAATTGTTTCTAGGGAAATCCTGAATTGTGTTCCACTTCCTTGTAGTCCAAGGAAATCTCTACCTTTATCTTTATTTCTATCTTTATCATCTATCTCTATCTCCAGCATGCTTTACCATCACTCTTTCTTTCTCCCTCCCTCTATCTCTCCCTCTCTCATATTTATTTCTCTATATCACAATTTTCATATTTCTCCTTATCTCTATCAAGCTATCTCATCTCTCTTTCCATCTCTACTTCTATCATCTCTATCTCTATTGTGCTCTCATATCTCTCTTCCCTCTTCTCTCCCCATCTACCTCTCTCTCATCTCTCTCTACCTTTATTTTTATCTCTGTCACCTCTAACTATAGCTATCTCTATTTCTGTCCTTATTTTTATCATCTCTATCTCTCAATATTATTCTCTCTTATACATCTCTCTTTATCTTTACTTCTTTCATTGCTGTCTCTCTATCTTCATTGTGCTTTCTCATCTGTCTCTTTTTCTCTCTTTACCTCTATTTCTCTCTCATCTCTCTATCTCTATTGCACTCTCTTTCATTTCTCTTTCTCCTTCTTCTTCCTCCCCCCCACCCCCTCCTTTTTTTCTCTCTCTCTCACACACAGTAAATTAAGAGTCAGGAGAGCTGCCTCCAATTATGGCATTTCCACTTACTAGTTATGACTTAGAACATTTCCCTTCTCCTTCCTGATTTTTCCCTTCTCTTTCCTTCATTGTAAACTCGAGAGAACGAAACTTACCCCACCTCTCTCATTTGAGGCTCATGACAGCCTGGGAAGCACAGTATGTGAAGCACTTTGCAAGAAAGTCTAAATATCATGCCTGGGAATCTTTGCCAAAGCTTAAACTCAAAGGTCTTTTCCATTCACAGGAACAATTTGGGGAACGGCCAGACCAGGACTCCCAAGAACTCTTTGGATGGATATCTGCCTTTGTTAGAGATTTTAGAAAAGCCCAAGCAGATCTGAATCTTCAGGTGCTGAAGTAGCCATCATAGCAACTCCTCCTTCTCATCAGTTATGGGCCTGTGATCATGAAATGCTTCATTGATGCTTTTGGTTTATCTGTGCTGTTTATGAAGATGCTACTACAATGGTACCATATTTCCCCTCAGTAATGTTCTTGTGTTCATTGAATTAAAGAGGAAGGTCATCAGTGGGCCAGCAAATGTCAGGGTTTTCTTTTTTTATGTAGTATTGTTTTTGGAGGTGAAGCAGGGCAATTAGGGTTAAGTGACTTGCCCAGGTTTACACAGCTAGTAAGTGTCTGAGGCTGGTGTTCTACCCACTGTACCACCTAGCTGCCACCTTTGAGATAGTTCTTGTAACTAATTGTGGTTCTTTAGGATTCACTCTATGTTGGGCTCTAAAGAAAGTCACCTTAGAGACTTTCCATGCTTGGACCAAGGAAGAAGCACTGCATAACTACTGTCTTCAAGTCTTTGAAGGCTTTGGAAGTCATATAGAAGAGGGGTTAGATGCATTCTTCTTGATCCCAGGGGGCCACACTAGGCCTAAGGGGTAGAAGACAGCTTTAGCTCAATGTAAGGAAATGATTCCTAACAATAAGGGCTGGTCACCTACAGGAGGAGCTGCCTTAGGGGCAGCCAGGTGGTGCAGTGGGTTGAACACTGGGGCTGGAGTCAAAGACTTGGGTTCAAAATTGGCCAAAATTAGTGGACAAGTCCCTTCACAACTGTCTGCCTCAGTTTCCTCAACTGTAAAATGAGGATAATAATAGTATTTGCCTCATGGAATTGTTGTAAGGATCAAATGAGATAATATTTATAAAAATGCTTAGCACAGTGCCAAACACATAGTAGATGCTTAATAAATGTTTTTTCCCTTTCCTTAAGAGGTAGTTTTCCAGTGTAGGTTGGATGACAGATTCTTGGGTTGATTCGTGTTATTGGCAGGAGTTGTTATTTTGGAACCCAATTTGTCCTTAATCTACTTTCCTCTGGAGAAATAGGAAAGGTCAGTCTCTCTGGGGATTTCACTTGAAAAGAATTAGGTCATTTTAAGGAAAGAGAGGACAGAGGCAAGAAGGGAGTATGGGAGAAAGTATCCCTTTCACATATTCTGTAACACCTTAGACTCTATTCCTATGGTCTAAATCAGTGTTTCAAATTCCCTGTTCTCTTCCCTTTTTCAGTCTTACAATCACTTGCTAATGTAGAATATGGTATCTACTCACAATCCCTGATTTTGAAACTTCTGATCTAAAATTAGGCCTCAGGTGGGGCTCTTTCTCTGGTGAGTTCATTAGGACAATTTAACTGTTAGAAATGTTATGTTCCACTCCCCTTCCTCCCACCCCACCCCCAGCTCTGCTTTTCTCTCTATTTTGTCATGTAATTAAGTTTACAAACATCTATTATCATAGGTCATAGATTTAGAACTCTAAGGGACCTTATAGGCCTTTGAGTCCAACCCATCTATTTTACAGATGAGCAAACTGGCTGAAAAAGAGCTTAAGTGATTTGCTCAGTATCACACACAGCCTGTAAGCATCTGAGGCAGGATTGATTGCTTCCTATGGATTATTTCAGCATGCAGTGCATCTAGAGCTAGAAAAAAGAAGTTAATTTGGGACAAATAACAAAATATCATTTCTTTGCTCCCACACAATATGGCCCTGTCTTGTCAATTTCACAAATTTAGTTTTCGAAGTGAACCCTCTGATTTGTATTACTCTTGACTACAGATTAAGCAAGTAGATTGGAGCTAATCCTGACTCATTCTCTTGTGTATGTTCACATAAGTTCTAGGGACAGGTATTTCATCTTATGTTCTTATTAGGGTGAGGTGACTTGGCCTGAACATGTCTAGATCACCTGGTATAGAAGTACCCTGCTTCCTATTTTAGATGGAAATCTAGACTACGCTGAACTTTCTAAATTACATAGAAGTCTCCCCATAGATTTGCAATGTAGGGTCAATTCACCATCATCCCTTTCTCAGATGAGAAAAATGCCCTGTGTGGAAATTCTTCCATGATTCCCTCAGTGCATTAGGCTATCCAATGGGGGATGGACAAAAAAATGTCCCTTTCTGCACAGGACACTTCAAAATTCTCCAGGCATCCCCCAGCCTATATCATAGCTGATCTCTATAGAGGTCCAGGCAATTTGCTCTGCTTCCTTATTCCAGAGGGCACCTGAAACTCCCCTCATGGATCCTTGCTACTGTCGGGGTAAAACAAATGGAATTGCAAGTTCACCCATCAGGACAACTCAAGTATACTCAGAGAAATATCAAAGAATGTCAGCTTCTTGTGGATTTTTGTAGGCATAGGCACTCTTATCTCAAGAAGTTGCAGTGTATTTTGCTTTCACAAAAGGTCAGTGGTCTAGGTCTGTTTAATGCAAAAGAACAATATCAACTTTTCTACTTAGTATCCAGATTTTTAGCGTTATATTTAGTATCAATACTTACACAGGATTCAGTAGCATATAATGTATCACTATATGTCAATACTTAGAACTGAATAATATAAAAAGTATTAATATTTAAACAGCTAAATAATCAGCAAGAAAAAATTTTCAAAATTACACCAATGTAACTGAGGTGAGGGAACATATACTGAGTAAAAATATATATTTATAGACCATTTTTTTTTGCCAAATTTCTCTAGGATCTCATAGTCTAGGATATTTAGAATTGAAACTCCTGGGAAGAGAATCTCTTCAGGGGTTTCCGCAGAAGCAAAGGAACCAATTTTATTCAAGATTAGGCCCTACATGTAATGCTGACTACCTTGACCCCCACTGCCTGAAGGCCACGTATGTTACATTTCACTCATCCCCTGGGGCTCTCTGCTACCTTTAAGAGAAGTTGAGGTGTCTAGGCTCTCTGCCAATAGCTCCAGCATTAACCAACTGTGTTCCTCCAAGTGTGTGTGGGGGGATGTAACTGAATCCCAGTTCAATTTTATCATTGAGTTAAATGAGCTTTTCCAAAGGAATATTTACTTCAAAAGGTATAATCACAGATATACAAACTTATTTCCCCAACATTTAGCAGTTACAGAGCTGACATTCTTTGCTATTTCTCTGAGTCTACTTGAGTTGTCCTGATGGGTGAACTTGCAATTCCATTTGTTTTATACTGTCAGTAACAAAGATCCATGAGGGGTGCTTTAGGTGCCCTCTGGAATAAGGAAGCAGAGCAAATTGTCTGGCCCTCTATAGAGATCAGCTATGGTATAGGCTGGGGGATGCCTAGAGAATTTTGAAGTGTCCTGTGCAGAAAGGGACACCCCTTCCACATGCCACCACAGTCTCTGGGGAAGAAAGGCAATTAGGTTTACAGATGAGTTCAGGTCCTATAGATCTTAGTGACAGTTACAAGACCAAAACTTCCCTTAGGTTAGAAGTCCAGGCAACTCTATTTCTCAGGACTTCCTTGCTAGGCAGCCTTACTGATTGCAACATCCCACCTGGGATCCTGGCTTCACGGTCATCATGGCTTAAACTCTTGGATCCAATGGGGATCAGAGCCCAGTAACTGAGAAACCAGGAAGGAAAAAAGATATAGAATAGAAACAAAACACTTCCAGGTCAAGAGAAACCTCAGAGTCAAGGGACAAGAGGGAAAGCAGGGGAAGTAAATTCTTCTCCTCTCATCTGTTTAGTTCATAATGCTCACACGGGTCAGTTCATAGTGGGTAAACTGTGACCCTGACCCATTGAAAGCAACAAGAAAGAACATTTAGGAAACAGAGAGACTGTTTCAGTCTGGTCAGTTATAAAGACATTGCCCGTTTCAGCTAAGCACCAATTGAAGGAGGATACAGCCACCCACATGGTAGGAAAACACAAGACAAAGGGGGATCTGGGCATGTGCTAGTCAAGCCTGTTTACATTGATATGCCCTTTTCATCTCAACAGGTCTCTTTTCTGAAGATGATAGTACATCTTATTTGTTACGACCCTTTGGTTTGAAGGAAAAAAAAACAAATTTTGAATTACACTTTTCTTCACTCATTCAAACTACACTTTTTTAAGGACAAAAAAATTAGTCTTTAATTTTTCATCCTAGTAGTGTATCATCTTCTTCCTCTTTGAGATATCCCAGGCCTACATTTATTCAATGGATAAAAGTAATACAGGCTACATTAATCCATATCCATTGAAGTAGGAGAGGCAGAGGTAAGAACAATTAGACTATACTTCAATTTGTTATTCCCCTAATGATTTTTTCCTTCATTAGTCGCTACCTTTTCAAAGTCTTAGATATTGCTTTCCTACCACTACTGCATCGTATTCTATGTCCACTTAGCCCAGTCTGTTGTAACTCAGCGCTAATGAAGCCAAGGTCATGGGTTTGATCCCCATCTAGGCCAATTTGTGGCCTATTGAGGAAAATTCCATTAATAGAGAAAGACTGTACCCATAACATTGATCAACCTCACTAATGTTGGCATTGATCACAATGAGGAAGCACAAGGATATGGATAAAACTCTTTATCACTGAGGAAGACTCTACTTCAAGAAAATACAAGTGGAAGACTGACAAACAAATAGCTAGATTATGTGTATAGGAAGGATGATTATTCACATTACCAAAAAATAATTTATTTCATAAAAACATTTTTAGTAGAATAAGAACTTCCCTAGCATATTTTCAGCTTATTTTTAGCTTGTGAATTTAATATTTTTCTACTTTCTCTTTTCCTGTCTTTGAACATAAAATTAGACTTTAAACTTTAGCAGAAAAGAAAATAAAAATCTCTGGAGTTGTCTCTGCCTCAGTTCCCTTCTTTCCCTTCCATGGACTTCCATTTTATGTTCACAAAAATTCAGTTCACATATCATTTTCTGAGAACAATTCTACTTCAATTTTACAATTGAAGATGCAGCTATATTTACTAATAGCCATATGTTTAGGACTAAGAACATGTCATCTAGGAAAAGCACATTCCTTTTGTAAAGTCATACTAAAAGTATATTTCCTTGAAATTAAAATTGACCTGGGAAATCAGACCTCATGACCACCATATTTGTCCTAGAGACACAAGCTCAAATCATTTGTTCCACTAATGGTAGATTAGGGAGTATCATCTTTTTTTTTTTTGTG